AAATAAGATCCAGAAAAACGAACTTTTTAAAAAAGACAATGTCGAAGGGTTCTCAAAAACATGATAATTCCGAAAGATAGCAAAATGGTGGTCCGCTGCTAATGCGGACGCTTACACACAAAAAAGGTCCAATAGAACCTACTCCCGCTTCCCTTGGTATACATATTATACACCCCCCTCATCACAGCAACCTGATCAGTCCGGGGTACTCGTTAGGGAGATAAACTCCCCACGGACCACCGGACACCCTCGCAAACTTTGCCACGGCCCCGAGAGAGACCTATGGGGGGTAACCCCGGAGGCGCGTTTCCATCATCAGAGCGGCGATGGCCACTTTCATTCCTTCAAACGTCGTGGAGATCCTGCTCATTCTCAATAATGCAGCATACACGGTTGCCTTCTTTGCCGCCTTCCGGGTAAGGGAAGCAAAATCCTGTATGGATTGCACCTTCAAAGTCCCATCCTCCGTTAAACTCTGCTGGTTCCTTGTTCTAGGAATCACGTCAATCACAATGGGATGGAAGCTCACAATAACGCGCGTACCCAGAAAGTCAAAAACATTGCCCCCCTCATCCTTGCGCACCAATGCCAGATTCTCGTCATAACATCTCTCGAATTCCTCAAAAAGAGCGGTTACTCTCTCCAAAGAAACTGCAGCACTCCGTCTGAAGCCAATAATAACCATTACGTCGTCAATCATCCTGACTCCCCTAACTAACGACCTCCTCTCATGCTCTCGATTCATATACTCATATTCGGCTTTCGCGCACACCAAACATGCCAGCGCAGGGCTCGAGTTCCTCCCCATAGGAATCCCAAACCGCTGTGCGAGCAACTTTCCCGCACATCGGACGAACGAGTTCGATAACTCGTACGCAACTTCCTTCCTTAGATCCTCCAAAGATACAGCCACCATACCATCTTCTTTTCGCACCCTCTTAACCATGGCAACCAACTTCCCCCTGACTCCCACCTTCACTCCTCTCATTCCCCTTCTTTCGTGATAGGCAATCAACCAATCAACCGCCTCTATGATGACCTCATGTGAGAGCTTGGAAAACATATCCTTGATATCATAACTCCGAGCGATCGCTTCGTCATACCTCTGACTCATATCTCTCCGTACCTCCCCACACTTCTTCACCAAATCTTCGGTCGATCTCAGATCGAAATGATGATTCTTTGGTAGGCCAAACAACATGTATCTGATCGCCTTGCCTATCCTTGCTGCTGCTACCCTCGCCGGATCGAACGTACATGGGGATATTGGCCTCCATCTCCCAATGTCCTTATCTTTAGGAAGGACGTAAGCTTGACCCATCCTTCCTCTCGATTGCCACCTCGCCACCTTGGTAAGCCCGTTCCTAGTGTAGTCCTCCCTCATAGTGCGCAGAACCTGGTCTTCCGTACGTGCCACTAATTGGAATCCAGGATTGTGGTTGAATGTGTCCTTACAGGCCTTGAGGTATAGGACTGGGCACAGAATCAGCGACGCTCCTGGGTTTTGGTCGATGGGAACTGTCACCAGCCTACTAAGTCCTCCGAACGCTGCACGTACTGCGTTGGTCGTCATAGCTCCGGATCCTCCCATCTCCCCCCTGCGAAAACACATCTCAATATCCCCTCGATCTACTTGGATCATCTTCCCTTTCGCCCAATTCTCAATTCCCCGTTTCATACATGTCTCCAGAGCATGCGGAGAGATCATAATCCCACACGTCACATTGTTCGAGTTCCTCATAAAGGCGGGTATTCCCTCTATTTCCGACAATCGTACCTTTACATGGCCCTCATGCCTTGGTAACCGAAACGATTGGCACGTACATCCGACTTCCTCCTCACTCACGCATGCCCGGTGGTTATGAATGATCATTTCCACCGTCTTCCTATTCTTAACCACCACCCTCACCCTGTCCGACACAAAGTGACCCAGTGCTTGATCTGGAACAGCTTGAGCAATCAGTCCTGCTGTAATCTCCGACGAGAAAGGGATCTGGACACACGGTCTCCTCCGAATCTCGCATCCAAACTTTTTTCTCGCCACCTTACTTACAACGGTCTTGATGAGGTTCCTGCTTCTCTTGTCATGAAAAAGCGTCGCGGTTCGGAATAGTGCAATAATTTCCCTTGAAGATCTCTTGTAGAGATCGCGTATCCTCCATGGTTGCCAGAGAATGTCCCTCAAAACGAACTTCCTGTGCGCGACGCTTGACGGGAGCACACGAATCCTCTCTATCTAGAATGATCCGCCCTCCTCCAGAAGCCTCCTGCAGAGTCTTAGCGGTTTCGCAACTTGATCCACGAGGATCGTAGTTTCTCCCACCTTCCTCCGTACTGTCTTTCACTTATCTGCCCAAATGTTTTCTCCAGATGACACAATCACACATCTCCCTACCTTCTCCCTCAGCACTTCAATGATGGAAGGTCTCCCATTAAATCTGATCACTGATCCGCCGATCTGATATGTCGCTCTCCTTCCTCTTTCCCGCTTTCCCCTCCTCCTCCTTATCCGTCTACGTTCACTATTGTTCCCTTGAGTATTCAGAGCTGGGGAAAATCTCTTAATCAAATCTCCCTCAACTTTTTGCAGATCCCCCTCCCCTTCAACTAGGGGAATCACTAGATACCTTCTCCACCCAAAGACTTTGAGCCACGCGTGTAAGTTAGGAGAATTCCCCACATCGCCCTTATCTACCAGATTCACGTGATCAGACCACCTGGTAGTCACCTTACGCTTCGTGCATCCGATGTTGAAATGACGGCACCACGGGCTCACCAACACGTACACCCCCGGCTTGCTCGTGGTGGCGTCGTCTCTATTGTTGCTCACAAAACCCACCCATTTCCTTGCCCATGCGCACTCCCCCCTAATCACACACAGGAGAAACATCCGAAACAATCGATCCTCTTGCGCCGCATATAGCCTCCCTCTCCCGCCACACATCTGCCTACCTTGTGCCAGCATCTCGGTACGAAGGTGGTCCATACTGACCTCCATCATTTCTCAAAGAAATCGGAAATTCGTACGTTCTCCGTGAAATCACCATAGGCCAGTTTTGCCTTACACTTCACGAGTTCCCCAATCACGGTATCCCTCTTCGACCACTCAATACCTTCACGATTGCATAGTTTTCGGAGTTCAGGTACCTTCTTCTCTGATAAATGCCGATGTAGCTCAATCACAAAATCCAAGATGTTCGGATCTCGTTTGTCGGTCCTGCGATTCGGCGGAGGTGTCCGATCCTCCTCATCCTCCAACTTGACTGGTTCCTCACGATCTCCCCTTCCTCCTATTCTTACCTTCGGCCACCTCTCCTCCGTTACTTTTGCTCTGCCTTTTCCTTTCCTCTTCTCCATAACTTCCACCAACTTCCCTGCCTCCTCCCTAACCTCCTCACTATCATCATCGGACTCGTCAAAATAACTCCGCATTTCCCTCAGAACTCTTGCTTTGGTTCTGGGGGATTTCTTCTTCACACCTGACGACTTCGGTGGCGTGCTGGTCTTCGTATGTTGTGCCAGCAACCGCATCAGTCGTGCCTCCAACCTCGCCTCCCTTGCGTCCGCGTCCCTCATTCTTTCTAACTCCTTCCGATTTTCTTCTTCTTTGCGTCTTCTTTCTCCCTCTTCCCTCTCCCTCCTTTCCTCATCTAACCTCCTTTTTCTAATTTTCTCTCTAAAGTATTCGCGCATCTCCTTTGTTTCATCATCGGAAACACCCGTCTGTACCGCCACAGCTGTCGGCCTCCCATTCCCTGCAGACCAACAATTGCGGGCGTAATGCCCGACTTTCCCGCAAATATGACACGTCACCCCCCCTTGCGCATTCCCTCTGCTGAAGGGCACCCCGTTCGCCATTCCCGCCATTACGGGATAACTCGGATTCTGCATCCTCTCTATGCTAAATGATTCGTCCTCCTATTAGCCCTTCTCCTCCTCCTTCTCCTATCCCTCACGATGCACCCTACGCTATACAGCCTCCCCAAAAATCTCTCAAGAATGCAAACTATCAGGGGCACCTCCTTACCATACACCCAGTTCTCTACGTCCTGCCACTGCCTATCCAACTCTTCTTCTCTAAAGTTCCTATTCATCCCCTACGTTCTTTCTCCACTCAATCGAGATGCGCACTACGACTAACAGTTCGTTACCCAAATACTTCCCAACAACTCCGAAGCCTCGAGATAGACACGCCAGACTTGCCAATATTACCAGCCCTTGTACCGCCGCACTTGCTAACCGAAACACTCTTCTCAACGTGACCCTCATTTACCAAGATCCTGAATCCACAAAGTAAGATGCTCACGCTCACTTCGTTGAAGCTCAGTCTTCTGAAGCGCAGATAAAGCCCACGACCGGCCACTCACCTTCGAAGTCCAGGAAGACGATCACGCCACCCCGCAACCCGGTTCCTGCGAAATACCACCCGAGACGGTCACGCTCAGATACCCCGCCGGTCCGAGTAGACCATAGTATGGCAGCGCCAAGGCACACAGCCCGCGCCGAAAATATCCGTAGCCACCGCTGCAAGTTAGTAGAAACCTCCGGTTACCACGTTTGTCCGAGATGAAGATGAGAACACGGGAGCTTCGAGTAACGACCTGCACTCACACAGACAGATACATGGACAAGAAACACTGGCAGTCTGGCATCAGCGTATAGATCCCGAATCATATGTACCTTTTCAGCTCAAAAAACTCTCAAACCAACCCGTACGCACTCCGCCTCTACGCGTTTCATCGCCTGCGTACAATAGGCGAACTCATCAGGAGGCAAACCCAAAGAAAAAACCCCAACGCCGAATAACTGATCCGAGATGTCTTCTCTCATCGGCTTGCTGCTGCTTATATAGTCTATGCGCAATCTCGCTACCCTACTACTACTACTGTTGT